CCCTGGTAGCCCTGCCCGACATAATCTTTGTTGGTCGGGAGTCGGAATATGTCCAATATTAGTCGGACGTCGGAGAAAGTCGGAATATAGTCGGAAATGTGTCGGATGTCGTGAGTGTCGGATGTCGTAATGGAAATGAACTGTCGGAGGGAAGTCGGAAAATGTCCGATATCGGAGGTCGAATTGTCGGATAGCGGATAACTGTCGGAAGGCAATTGTCGGGAGGGTGGAAGTCGCGTGTCGGGCTGTCTGACGTCGGGGGTCGGGACGTCGGATGTCAGAAACGCTCGTCGGGGGATTGAGTGCGACTCCGCACTTCAGCGGGAAGCATGTCGGACGGCGTCCGACATCCCTAATGTCGGGAGTCCGATGTCGGTACGTCGGATGCACTTGTCGGGGTGTCGAGACGCGGCATGTCGGAGGATCTCCGACACCCCCGACGGAGGGTGTCGGGGATCGGTATGTCGGACGTCGGATAACGGACGCGTTTGTCGGGAAGTCGAGACATCCTTCCCTCACTTCCCCGTTAGGTCGACATGTCGGACAGTCCGACTCCCCCGACGTAATCTTTGTCGGTCGGAGCTCGGAAAATATCGGAAATGTGTTGGAGATCGGATGTCGGGTTGTCGGGTACGTCGGACGATTGTCATGAGTCCGGAGAGTACGGTTGACAGCGATGTCTGCGTGGCCTAGTGGTCTAAGGGGTGGAACGTCGTGCGAAAGGTGTGAGGTTCGACTCCGGGTAAGTACAAAAGGTAAATCTGAAATTAAAATGTGAAAATACTATGATCTGCAGTTGAGGGGGGAGGAGGGCTAAGACGGTGCGATGACAGGGGGAAAGGTTGGGCGAAAAAAGTTAATCTTTAAATTCTCGTCCGAACATTAATTTCCTCCGACCTCGACTACCGACATACCGACATCGACCTCCGACATATGATGTCGGAAGTCGCACATGCACCATTCCGACATATGTCCGACTTCCTCCGACGTCGGGAATAGTCGTAAATGTGTCGGTGGTTGGTCGTTTCATTAGTCGGAAAAATGTCCGAAAAATGTCGGACCAGGCTACCAGGGCTATTCTCTGCCACCTATAGACATTCTTTTGTCCATGCAATGGACAAAAAATGAGAAACCCAAGAACCCCATCAGTGACCGGATGGTGAAAAGTGTTGTAGAACAATATTCGTCTTACCTTAGAGCTGAACTGAAGAAAAAGGAACAGCCAGCGGAAGTACTTAAGGCTCTAAGAGAAAAGCGTAGTCAACAAAGGCAGGCCAGGAAAGGAAAAAAATTGTACACAATTAAGAATGGCAAACGACATTATGTAAACAAGAGGGAGAAGAAAAGTGCTGAAGCTGACGCTGACATGTCACACAACTCAGACTCCGACCAAAGTAAGGAAACACCTGTTCATGACGTAGTGCCTGCTGAAGACTCATCATCAGATGAATCAAGTAATGGAAGAGACAGTAATTGTTCTCAATCTCACGGCGTTGGACCAGAAAACACTGAAGAAGTTGATGTAGAGGATAATGAATCTCAAATTATCAATTTAGATCAAAATGGACAGGAATTGTATTCTCACTTGAGTGCAGACTTTATTACAACCAGGGCAAGTAAGAGAAGTCATGATGGTGATGAGCTACAGTGGTCTGAATTGTCTGATGCGTCTGAGACAAGCAATTTGAACTCGGGTACATCCCCCAAGAAGTTGAAGGAGGCGGGAGAAGATTCGGATAGCAGCACTGATATAGAATCGCAGAACTGAAAACTGCAGTACTGTTTGTTTTTACAGTTAAATTTTTAATCACCTTTGTTTTTTTTTATTTTAAAATGATTTTAATTATGTTTGTGTAATTTTGTACAGCAGTACTTCTTTTTATTTCTAAAGGTATAAGTGTCTGCTGATCTAAATTTAGACTACACCATTGTGTTTGTTTTCTTTTAATCATTTTAATTCTACGGGTATGTTTTCTTTCAAAGAAAGTGTATGACTATGACTTGTTGTAATAGATAATGATTTATACCATAGCTAGATGTAAATGTTTATTTGCAAAGCTATCCATTTTGTTGTTGCCTGCACATGCCATGTATACTTTTTGCCTTCTTCAATTTTGAAAGACTCTGGAAAAGGCGCCTTCGTCGCCATGGTTGTCTATAGGGTGTCCCGGCTCTTACATGCCAGTACGTTGGGTTGCCTCTTGCACTGGCTGCAGGCGCGGGGCGGGTGGCGGAGGAGTGGCAGCACCCCCCACTCCTCCGCCACCCGCCCCGCGCCTGCAGCCCCTGCAGCCAGTGCATAGGCAACCCAACGTACTGGCATGTAAGAGCCGGGACACCCTACGTGATCTAGACAGTTCTAGAAATATTCTAGACTGATCCTGACGTGGTCCTGACGCGGACCCGGGCGGGTATGGATGGGGCCTCGAAACCACGGTTGTCTGTACGTGATCTAGACAGTTCTAGAAATATTCTAGACTGAT